TTGCAAATGTCGGCAAAGGTTTGACCTTTTGCCGATCGCCTCCCATTGCGCTTCGGCAAAAAGACTCATCTGAGGTTTGTTTACTTTGCGATCAGAAACAATGCAAGAAAGTCGGAAATTTTTTTTTGCTTTTGTTTTCTGCTTTTCTCGCATCAAAACCCCGCAAAATCACAAATTATAATCCAATTTCACCGTAAGCACCCTAGTAGCACCATTTATATCACAATTTCATCACATTTGTCGCCAACATCACCACATATATCACAATAACGCACAACATCACATATATCTCACATATATGTCACAATAACAACCACACAAGTGCATTACAACCATCACATGAAGTCCAACACGTCGAACACCACAAGTCGACGTCCATCACACGAAGTTCAACATAACAAGTCTAGGTCCATAACGAAAGAAAAGAAATACATGACAACAACTTCGACGATACGGTGGATACATGATAACAGAATCGACAAAATACCTAGCTCGTCGCACCGTCCCCTGGGCCTCGTCGCCCCGCTCCGCCCCCAGAGCCCCTGTGGTTTGCCCACGGAAACCCCTTGGACCAAATCGAGGCGCTCATGCAGACGCCACCCTCCGCACCGGCGGCTGCCACGAAAGTACGCTTGAGGAGGGCCACGCGAGGTGGATACGGTGGATAGGTGCAGGTGGTGGATACGACATCATCGATGGCCGGACCTCCGTGAGACGGGTTCGAACCACCGACCGCACTCTGCATGTTAAACGCCAAGTGATGTCATTAGTATCTCGCAGCATGGACGCACAAGTTAAAGCAAGAGTCAATATACTCACCGGGTCCCTCCAGAGCGACAGGAGCGCAGCACGGTGAAAAAGCTCGGAGGAGGAGGCGGTGGAGCGAACATTGGAAGAGGAGGCGTGTAGACGCCCGGCGTCTGCATGGACCGGAAGAAGCTGGTCATGTTCTCGCATCCGAGTGTTGTAGTGCTGCCGCAGCTTTGCCGGTAAGCCATCTGTTGCGCCATCATCTGCGCGGCAACGTGACGATCCTCTCCTCCATCTTGGCCTCCATCCGGGCCTCGCAATATTACATCCGCAGTGTTGATTGTATGTACAAAAGCGACTTCAACCCTATCAGCGTGAGACGGCATCCGCCATGCGTAAGCTTTGTCTTCTCGTGAAGGGGCTTCGTGTCGACTCCATCATGTCGTAGAAGGCCTTCGCGGTTTGCTCCGGATCTTCCTCCACATCCATTCCTTCGCCAAACCGCGCTTCGTGGAAGTCCGCCATCATGTTCCGCCATCCCCAAGATCGCCATCATACTCCTCGAGGACGGGTCGCACCACCTCATCCCTAATAGGATGGTATTCACCATGGTGGCGCCTAACGGGTATAGTTTGGAACGAACCCGCGCTTGAACAGATCTCTCAACACCGAGCCTTTACTTTCTTCTTCTTGTTCCTTTTCACCGCAGGGACACGCACATCCGAATCGACCCTTTAGCACCGGGCCAAATGCATGCTCCAGAACTCACCGTCCCCCTCGATCCATTCGTGGCTCTTACTTGCGAAGCCCGAGTACATCCACTCACGGTCACCCATTCTCTCATCATGCGGCAATGTTAACATGTGATAAAACCAGCAAGTGCATCTACAACGCGCTCCTACCATCTAATAGGTGAAGGATAGGTCCTAATCCCACTGAAGATGTGTGATGACGAGGTTAGCTTCCATGCTCATTCCGTCCGAGCGGACGGATTTCAAGAAGATTTTCCCGCTGTTCTCCCGATACACGTCCCGCGGGGAGAGTGTGTATCCAGAGAACAACGGGGAGGTCCCGCCAAACTCGACTTCGGACGGGAGCGGAACATGGAGCTAACCTCGTCACAAGCATCCTTGGCTGTCCAAATAACGTGGATAATCCAAACGGATACGGTTATACATATGCGAAGAACGATACTTCCAACCGTATCCGCTTTGGACGGAGACGCCTAATCGGGTAACGCGACCTATGACTACATGTGGCGGAAAGAGGGTCATACCGTGAGGTGCCGTGAAGAAAAAGGCTAAGCGGGCAGCGGTTTAAGTCGTGTTCTCCTCCTGGCTAGCCTCCAATGGGAGCCCTCCTCAAAAAAGAAAAACAATTAGTGAGAACGAAAATTTTTTAAGCAGCACTCTCCCTCAGACGGAAGGTTACCAAACTCAGAAGAAAAGACGCACGATGGCCGACAAACACATATACATGTCACGCATTTATGGCCGACAACAACAAATGTATTTCCAATCCATGCGTAAGAATATAAGCAGGTATTAACAAAGTAAACTACTACTACTAGTAGTACTACTACCTCGTCATCACGGACGGCGTCACCGGCGCGTGGAGCAGAGGCGCGCGCGAGGACGGCGAGAGGATCGGGCAATGGGCGAGGCGAGGACGGCGCAGCGAGGCGAGGACGAGGAGGGCGAGGATTTGGCGACGCAGGTCGGGCGGACGGACGGACGCACAGGATGGACGGCGGACGGAGCGGGCACGCCGGATCGGGCGGGCAAATGACGGCGCCGGGCCAAGTGGCAAGGTCAGGCTGCGTGGTGGGCCGACGCCGAGTCAACGACGCTGGCACACCTGGGCCGGGGCGGATCGGCGGGCAGCGAGCGCACGGGAGGGGCTCTGGGCGGGCGGCGGGCCGGGGGCTCAATGGGGGGCAGCCAGGGGGGGGACGCGCCACGAGGAGGGACCATGGGAGGAGGGGCCGCCACGGGAGGGCCACATGGGAGGGCCAAGCCACCGGGAGGGACCAATGGGGGGGCCACGGGGAGGGCACACATGGGGGCTGGGGAGGGCGCCACACGGGGAGGGACCAACATGGGGCGCCACGGGAGGGGCCACACATGGGGAGGCCGCACACACGGAGGGACCAACATGGGGCGCCACGGGGGGGCCACCACATGGGAGGGCGCCACGGGGGAGGAGGCAAGGGGGGGGAGGAGGAGGAGGGATCCACGCATGGAGAGAGGGAGGAGGGGCGGGGAGGGGGGGCGCGGGGGATGCGCTGGCCGGGGCAGCGACGGCGACGGCAATGGCGGCCTGGTGGCGGGTGGCGGGATTTTGGGAGGGAGGGCGGGCCGAGCGGATAAAGCGATGTTTTTCTTTTTTTTTTTTTTCCTTTGCCGATCACAAAGATGTGACGCAATCAAGAAAGGTCTATTATTTTTTTTTTTTCAAAAATTATTTTTTTAATTTTTTAAAATACTTTGCCGATCGCTTCTCCCCGGCAATCAGCAAAAGGTTATTTTTGATTTTTTCTCGAAATTTTTGTCGATCGCCATCCTCCCCGGGCGATCGGCAAGAAGGTTTCTTTAACCGCCATCGATGGCGATCGGCAAATAATTTTTTTTTTTCGATTTTCGATCCCGCTTTTTTGTGTTGCCTTGCTACAGTAAGTACATGATATATTCCAAGTTTGGGGTCATTTTGATTTATTTTGCTATATTCCATTGATTTTTTTCTTTCTTTGATTTTTCCGGCAGCTCCAAATTTGAACTGCAGGTACATGAAATAATGGAATCCGCGATTCGTAAAATGATATTCATGATGTTTGGAGCATGTTGAGGCCGTGTCTTGGGCCTCGCGTGAAATTTCGACCGTGTTGGTGTTTCAACACGCCGAGCCACGCTGCGTGAAAAGTGTTTTTAAATTTTATAAAATCGAAATGGAGTCCGAAAATGACGAAACTTGACGACGTGTCTTGTCATCGCACGCGAGGTCAGGGTAAAAATTGAGAAAGTTTCGAGCAAGTGGCGACGCCGCTCGGCGTGTTCCGACACCAACACTCGCCGAATTTCACGCGAGGCCCGCACACGGCCTCAACATGCTCCAAACATCATGAATATCATTTTCTGAATCGCCGGATTCCATTATTTCATGTACCGCAGCTCAAATCTGAGTCAAAAAAAAATCAAAGAAATGAAAAAATCTACGGAATATAGCAAAATAAATCAAAATGATCCCAAACTTGGAATATATCATGTACTTACTTGTATCAAGGCAACACAAAAAACTGGATCGAAAATCAAAAAAATAAAAAATTCTTTTGCCGATCGCCGGGGAGGATGGCGATTAGCAAAAGCTCGCGCTTTTGCCGATCGCCGACGGAGTGGCGATCGGCAAAAGGTGACGATGTGGATGGCGTCAACCATGGCTTTCGCTTTTTTTGCCGATCGCAATTCTTTGCCAATCGCTCGGCGGTCGGCAAAGCCAGCGATCGGCAAATCTCTACTTTGCCGATCGCAGAAATTCCGGTTGGCAAAGGGACCTCTTGCCGAGTGTCGAAAAAAAACAGTTGGCAAAGAAAATTGCAGTCGGCAAAGAGCCAATTTCCTGTAGTGATAATGGGCGGGTGAAATATGGAAACAGGTTGTGTTCCGCTTTCTAACTCTATTTACAAGCACCAAGCCTAGGGATGATGTATGCCTGCATTAGGTGGAATCATGTCATGGTTGTTAAAATCTCGATTCTGCTATCTGAGTTTACTTCTATTACATGAACAAAGTTAGAGAGTTTAATTCTACTATGCTAGTTGACAAAATCTATGTTTATATTACTATTATTATGTCTAAGATTAGTGATTCTAATTTATATAAAGATCTCCGATTTGACTTATAATCTAACCTTGAGTAGAACCAAACTAGCTATGAATTGTTCATTCTAATGTGCATTCAAAGACATCGCATTGAGAAGTAGGGTAGATATCAATAGCATAATAGGAATGCTGGGTTGATGAATAATAATCCATGGCAAAAGATTAGTAAGGAGACGGCGTTCAATAAGCCCAAAAATATTGTTTTATCAGAACCCTGTGGAGGAAAAATGAGAGACATCAAAGGTTTGTTACATGGTGGTTGAGTTTCTCTCCCAACCTATACATGTATGCCAACTCTAGAGAATTCAAGTGGTCCCTTGCTCACACCACTGATCATCAGGCATCAGCCAATTGACATGCATGCATGGACAGTTGATCAGCTTTGTGTTGGCTTCGTCTCGTCCTCCTCCTCCTCCTCAGCGTCCTTCTTCACCTCCGTCGTGGGCTTAGCCGTCACCTCACCGGTGGCGAGCTTTTCCTCTGCAGGGGCTGATGGCTTCTCCTCCTCGACGACGGTCTTCACCTCGGCCTCTTCTTCCTCCTCCTCCTTGTTCTCGGGCTCGACGACGACCGCCTCCTCCAGAGTGCTCACCTCATCAGCCTGCTGCTCGGGCTCGGCGGTGGATGGCGGCTTTTGTTCCGCCACCGTTGCCGGCTCCTCCTCCTTGTCCTCCTCCACCACCTTCTCAACTACCTGTTCAGCCGCAACCTGTGCATGGATGGCACACACATTATTCAGATTTAATCCACATCAAGAGAAAACAAAAATGTATATATAACTAGTTCATGCATGATCGAATGTGTTGTCATCACATCACCTCAGTGGGGACGGTAGTGGTCTCGGGTGCAACCTTGGGTGTGGAGATGTTGGCCTCAGCTGGGGCCTGCCCCTCAAGCGTCTTGGGCTTGGTTGCGCAGGCACCCATGGTTGCTGTGGCGGTAGCGGCGGCTGGGTTATTGGCCGGTGGAGGAGGCGATCGAGGAGGTGTTTGAATGTGTGGAGGTGGCTTGGCAATGGGGGAGATGATCTGCATTTATAAGAGGATATGTAGAGTGGTTAAATTTAGACAAAGATGTTAGCAATGGTTTGGAGGGGTTACAGGAACCAACCATGCAGATCTGGCAAATAATGCATGCATGGACAACCTAGTTCCATATATAGAACACCAAAGATATATGCGGTTCCCTGTCTTTCCATTTGTTGATGTGAAGAAGAATACGGAGAGCGACATATACACGTATCCAAAAAATCATATCCATAGCGGGTGTCACAGCATCCTTTAGAGATAGTATAATAAGCCATGTCAGCTTGGCTAATAGTCAAGACAACTTGGCAAAGTCTTAGGTGCAGGAGAAAGAATGGGATGGTCGATGCATGAGGCAGGTCTGCGGATGACAATCGAGGGAAAGAGAGAGTATACAAATGAGTTATTTTCATAATTTGTGAAGAGCCTTGCTTATTGTATGAATTGTCTATAAGAATAGTTAGCTATTAGACAAGTTTATTGGGCTTGCTCTTATCTGTTGCGTCTATTTCGCATTAAGATCCATGCGCGAGTTGCTTCAACTATTTTTTTGGTTGTTGACTGCCTAGCATACCTCACAGCTCCATAGGGCCTCGTCTTCTCCTGCTGCCTGTGGCAGAATAATTGTGGGACCCACTCTCATGGGCAATAGGTGCTCATGCTATCGAAGTTTCATTGCTAATCATTGGAGGAGAGGGTCTCATTCAGAGGCGGAGCTATATTCAACTTAGAGGGTACGGCTGCACCCACAAAAAAAAATAGAAAAAAAGTAATAAAACATAAATTTTCACCATATATGCACCCACGTTGCAAATCATTACACCCACAAAGACAAATACACCCTCCTTGAATTTGCTCTAACTCCGCCACTGCTCTCATTGCCACAAGAAGGATCAATAGACAGCAGCAATGACCACATGTGAATTATACATGCATTACTGCCTGTTACCATTTACTTAGGCCATTTAATCAATGCTAATTTACAAACATGTTTTTACTCCTGTCATATAGTACGAATGCTACTAGGAGGCGAAGAGGAAAGGGAAAGGGGAAAGAGCTGAGGGCCATGAGATGACAACAATGACCCAATTTAAATCATGTATGTATTGTTGCCCATTACCATTGAATTTGCTTGTATAATCATCGCTAATTTTACTAACATGGTTTTTTTCTTTTTTTTAGAGCACCTCTAGTGGATCATGAAATCGAACCATGGGAGTGAAAAAACGAACCATGCACATTGTAGCCATCGAACAGTATGTGTCAGACTTAGAATCGCATAGCTACTGCAGCATGAGGATGTGCTCAACAGCATCCCAACCAAGCTAAACCAGACATGTAGAGAGAGAAACGACTTTTTAATCTTATTATTGGTTCTTCTAATGGAAAGCAAGACATTCTATTCCTGAAAGCATGGCATGTCTATTCCTCTAATTCTGTTTCCCCATTCCCATAAATTATTGGGTCCTCATATTTATCGAGACAGGACTATTTTTAGCAACTCCTTTTGTTGTTTTATTAATTGGATTGCCAACAAATGATAAAGCTACAAAGAAAGATTTTTTTTTAGATTGCATAAATTTAGAACATATTATGGGCATATCTTTTTTTTTTCTTATATGTACCCTGATTGTTGGGTTCTGGGCATTGGTCCAATTATTATTTTATTTGCTTTGTGCAATATATCAGTTTGCTAGGTAGATTTTTCTAAAGAAAACATGTACTGATATTTTGGTGTATGCTGATTTCCGAGGGTTATCCTTTTTTAGTTTGTATATTTGTTATCCTGGATTTATCGATGCAATCTGTTTACTATATTTCTTTGGCCTTGTATGTAATTCTGGACATGCATGTATGTCATGTATTTTGAGATAAGGTTTCTTTGGCACTTCACCATGCACCTCTGCCATCTGTGCCTCTCCCCTTCCTAAGTATTTCTTTTAGCGTTAAGTGTTTCCTGGCTGCAATATTATTGGGCAGTCCTGTTTCCTGGCTGCCATGCATAGTGTTTGTCCGCTTTCTTGTCCTCTACATCAAAGAATGTGTCTGGTTTGAAAGCAAACATTTGGAAAACTGTTATAATCTTTTTTTTTAATCTGGAAATCTTGTCTGAAAATTGTTCAGGTTTGGTGTTAGAGATAATTTCTCTGTTGGCATAACTATATCTTGTTTCTTTTCTGGATAGTTCCGATGAAAATTTCTATGCTTAATTAGTAACGAAAACATAATATCCTTTTACAAACCAGAAACTGGGTACAGATTTGCATTAATTTTAGTAGTTTCAAAAAAATAGTTTCAGGGTTGCAACATGAGAAGCTACAGAGTTTCTGAGTTTCACAGTACTTTAGCAACATGAGTAGCTCACTAGCTCCCTAATGTAAAAGAATTACCAGCTAATCACTGCATTTTCAATCATTTTACCTTTTAATATATTTGTTGGCATGACATAAAAGTGTTTGTCCAGTGGCTGGCCAAGGCTAAGCATCTGAAATTTCTGAACTTGAATCTTCATTGGATTGTTAGATGTATTATGAACCAGTGTGCTAATATAATGTGTGTTTCGTTCTGTTCTGCTGTTGTAAAAGGCGAATGCCAAGAAGGTTATTTTAAGTGGGAAGAACAACTGCACTGAAGTCATTTAAATTATGTGTGCTCAGGTCTAATATGAAGCAAACCTTCTCACTTTTCAATTTATTTTTCTGTTCCCCTACCTGTTTGCCTCAGAGCAGGGACGAAGCCAGAAAAAAAATTAGGAGGGGCTGAACAAAATAATAGAGATTTTTTTATCTTCTCTTAATCTTAGTCCCTCCTACCTAATACATATATGCATAAAATTTTAAAGGAGAGCTTAGGGGGGCTCCACATGCCCAGGATCGGTAGGGGGGGCTAGAGCCCCCCCCCACCCAGCCCCACCGCTGGCTCCATCGCTGCCTCATAGAACCATCTAGCATTGATATGTAGTCTGCTACTGTAATAAATATCCAATCCTGAATAGCAAGCCTCAACCTGCTAACTGTTTAGTACAGAGCCTATTGCTAATTGCAGAAAACATAACCTGGAAGCAATGAACTGTAGCAATTGAAAAATAGCACAAGAACATACTGCTACTCGGTGAAAGCTCTAAACCAGAAAATCATTACTCGGAGCTGGAAAAAGTACACAGCCTACTAGAAGGAAATGCATAGGATGCGACCAATCTTCTTTTTACCACTTCTTCCTTGCAACAGCACTTTCAGGTTTGCTCCCTATGAGCAATTCCTGGTTAACTTGCACTGGGAACCACCACATAATTTCAGACACAATGCTTATTTTCTGATAGATCGAGTGTTTCAAATTCAAACTGGTTTCAAACTTCCTTTCTTTCTACCAAGTTGGTTGTGATTTTCAAAAGCCAACTTGGTTTCAAAAGGAAGGAAGAAAATCACAACAAACTACTGACGAAGCTCTTATAATTGTGACTTCGGTTTCTTTATTCTGTGTGGTTAGGTTTTTATTGATACGTGTCCTCTCTCTTGTAGGTGCTCAATAGCAGATTGCTGAAGGCTAAAATAGGAACACTGAAGACTAAGATAGGAACACTAAACGGGACATAAGGAAAGAGCTCAAAACCCTTGCAAAAGTGGAGAGAAAATAACAGCAGCTTGCAGTCACTGATGTACTGAAAAAACGCAGATGTTGTGCTGACAAGTGACAACAGACTGGTGCGCCTTCGAAAAAGCTAAACAGAATTACATTTGATTCAATGAAGGTGCTCAGGCACTTGAGCTGGCATGCCGGATAGCCTTGTTGAAAGTAAGTATAAGATTGCACAATTCAAAGTTTGTGATGAGCTAAGGGTGTAATTTGAATCTGTTGACAGCATCACAAATATTGGCCATTGGGTAAATTATGACATCTATGAAGTTATTTATAACATAAATTCACTTAAAGGCATCCTTCTACTGGTAATTGTTTCGATGTGAGCCCGTGGTAGGTAATGCCATTAGTTAAGTGATTGCCTTTGTGTTTAGTATGAGTTAGATGCGCAATACTGTAGTTGTAAATGTAAGAGTTTGTTTCTATGATGTGAAGCTTGTAAATATGCGAACACAAGGTTGATATATGCCCTTGTGGTTCGGTTGTGATGAGTGATTGTCAATGTGACTTGTGTCTTGGGTTGAGTCAGTGAACTAACCATGGCGCGAGTTGGGGGCTGTGTAACATGTCTCTTGGCTTTGTGGTGCACAGGTGTGAAGCTCGGAGGCGGTGGTCGACGGCGAGGTGAAGGTCAAGTAGAGACGTGCCGTGCCGATGGACTAGGAGCAGTGAAGGACGGATGTGAGCCTTAGACCGAGGGACCAGGAGGCCAAGTGACCAGCCGCGGTGGCTGAAACTTGGGGACATCGACAAGCGCAAGAGTACATGAGTGATGAAGACGACGTCGACCAAGTCAAGGAGGAGGACGATGGCGTCGTGGCACTTGACGGAGTCCGGACATGCATTTACATGGGAGATGTAGATGGCGTCGGTCAAGTCAAGAAGGAGACGAAGGTGTCAAACTTGGCGGAGGTCGGACACACGTCGACGTCGAAGGGGTTTGGTGGTTTCGTCTTGAAAACCATCAGAGAGGTTTGGTGGTTTCGTCCTCAAAACCATCGGAGGATGGTTTTTTTTTGGTTTGGGCTCAAGAACAGGCGTGGACAGTTTGGTGGTTTTGGACTCAAAGCCATCGGTGGCGTGTTTGACCGGTTTGGACCTCAAAACCGGGGAGTGGCAGATCAGCGGACACGTGGTGGTATCTCGAAGCTTGCGTTGAGGCGAATCGAAGTAAAGAAGGCGCCGGGTCTGTTGGATCGACCAAGAAAAACTTGGACATATTTACCCCTAGCGGGTATTTAGGATGAGTTCTTCATGTGAGGACG